CAGATTCGTAAACTACACCCATACTATACCCTGCTTCTAAACAAAAGCCTTGTGAATCACGTAAAATCCAAGCCATACCAAAAGGAGAGCCATCATTCTTAAATTGACAATCATAATTGCATTTGATGTACTCTGGTTTTGGTCTTTTCCAACAAGACAGATTGGATGGGGAGGTCTGGGAATGTATAGATCGAACTTGAATCGGAAGTTTTTATTTCTTCATATAACCAACAGTTATGATTTATGTTTCCAATATGCTTCATTCAATTTCTTACGAACATTAGAGATTCTAAAATATGATGTGTTATTAGACGTTAAGACCAATTCAAATTTAATTTGGAGTTTTTCCATAAACAAATATCACAACATCTACATCATCATACTATTACTAAGTAGATATAAAATGTGAGTTAAATTAATTGTTGATTTAAAAAGTATATTTATCGAAAATTCTTATGTTAAACCCTTTTACTTTAAAATGGGTTCGCCTAGCCGCCAAGTGCGATTATCCTCTCTAGAGCTCAAACAGGCGATCTTCGACTGACCGATGGTCGGCGGCTCTGATAGCGCCGGCATCGATCTCTTTGGCTTCTTATAGGCTTGCTTTCTCTTTTGATTCGGTTTATCCCTTGTCTTTGTCTTGTTATCGCGTGTTAGGGTTCGTGGTACCGTTGGTTGTGGAGGTTCAGGTTCGGCTCCGGAAGAGGTATCGCCGGAACCATGGTTTGATTTTGAGCCCGTCTTCTCTCGATGGAGGATCTTTTGGCTCTGTCCTCCGCTTTGCTTCGTTCTCCATCTACTCGCCGGTGCTGCTTTTGCTTCTCTGATATACTCGGCGGCCAGTTTCTTCCATGGTTGGGTGGAATCCATGTCTCCAGTTCTCTCCAGTCCCTCTTGACTGGACGGTGGTTGTTGGACTCGGTTCGTTTGTACCCTTATCGTGTAAATGTTGGTTTTGTCGTTTAGGACCTTTCCATTTCCCCTTTGTCTAGGGTTGTTAGTTATAGTTTTTGTTCATCTAGTCATATGTTCGTTAAGGAGTTGGCTTGCTTTGGTTTTTCCTTTGTTGATGTGTGCATAGTTGTTTGGTCGAGGTTGGTAATTCTACGGGTAGCATCTTGATTTCGGTGTTTCTATTACAAAGTGAATAAAAAGTCTTTGCTTTAGGTCTTCTTTGGTCAGATCTTGTAAAGCTAGCCTTTTGTGGAGATGCAAAGTTCTTGATATAAACTGTTTAAGGGTGAAGATTAGGTGGGTAGGAGTTTAGATTGCCGTTTGTGGTTCTTAATTCATGTTATTCGTTGTATTTGGGTTTATTTATTCGCGGCTGTTTCTAACCTTGTCGTCGGCTTGTGAGTTTTGTTTGTTCTGCGACTATTGCTCTTTTCGCGCTCAACGCTTATTTACTTTTGCTTGCCATGTCTTTGCGGTTAGGTACTAGTTTCTCGGTAGTTTTAATATTGTGGCTCCCCTTTGGCGGGAATGTGTGGTTCCTCTTTGACGGGATTGTGGCTTGTCCTATGTATATCAACTCAGTTTTAAATAAAATAAACAGATGAAACAAAAAAAAACCCTTTTGACTTTTTTCTGATGGGGCTTCGAATTTGGGTTGTTCAAATTTAATATTCCATCCGTTTCAAAATAATTGTTATTTTCTGGAGCTTTTAACACAAATTAAGAAAATACATTAAAAATATGTTTTACCCTTAATTAATATAATGTTTGAATTGATATGAGTAATTAATAAGGTTAAAAATATAGATAAAAATGGAAAAAATTGTCAAAGATATGTATTGAAATTGTATAATGACAAGTAATATGAAACACAAAATTAAGCTAAGAATGAGAACTATTTTGAAAAAGAACGAGTAATTAATGTTTTGTTGAACCCAAAGAAAAATAAAAATAGAGAGAACCTAAAAACGCATACATGTAATAACTGCCGTTTTATTGGTTGCAGCTTTAGATACTAGATGATATGTACGTACATTATTGGCCCAACGACGTGTAAAAGCAACCACGTGGCATCGAGTACAAAAGTCGCCTTCCTTACTCGCGCGAGTAGGTCGTCTTATAAGTCTCTTGAATATTCTCTCTCCTTTTTTGGCCCCTCAAATTTCCAAATATTTCAAATTTTGCCTCTTCGTTTTCTTCTCCTCCTCTTTTTTAATGTCTCGAGATTTACGGACCCAAATCTGA